ACAGACTATGATATGCTCTTTTCAAAATTTGGACACAAAACTTAAAATTGAAAGGATTTACCACGTTTATTAGATGAAGGAATCAAATGCATTTGAGAAATTTATCTATCTAAACAAACTAATTTGGATGGATGGAATTGGAGAACATCATTCTGAGTGAGGTTAGCCTGGCTCAAAAAACCAAAAATCGTATGTTCTGCCTCATATGTGGACATTAGATCAAGGGCAAACACAACAAGGGGATTGGACTTTGAGCACATGATAAAAGCGAGAGCACACAAAGGAGGGGTGAGGATAGGTAAGACACCTAAAAAACTAGCTAGCATTTGTTGCCCTTAACGCAGAGAAACTAAAGCAGATACCTTAAAAGCAACTGAGGCCAATAGGAAAAGGGGACCAGGTACTAGAGAAAAGGTGAGATCAAAAAGAATTAACCTAGAAGGTAACACACACTCACAGGAAATCAATGTGAGTCAATGCCCTGTATAGCTATCCTTATCTCAACCAGCAAAACCCCTTGTTCCTTCCTATTATTGCTTATACTCTCTCTTCAACAAAATTAGAAATAAGGGCAAAATAGTTTCTGCTGGGTATTGAGGGGGGGGGAGCGGGAGGGGGTGGAGTGGGTGGTAAGGGAGGGGGTGGGGGCAGGGGGGAGAAATGAACCAAGCCTTGTATGCACATATGAATAATAAAAGAAAAATGGAAAAAAAAATAAAATAAAACATATAAAGGCAATGGTCTGAATGTCAAACAATCAAATTTAAGATACACTTGGCTTCAGTGGATAGAAATTATAAGAAAGCTGACTTAAGATCAAACCACCATGGATCTCTTATAGTCTGTTTAGCTACCTGAAAAATGTCTGGTCATTGTACTTATTAATTCAAGCGCTGTCTCTGGTGAATGTTGGAATGTGTGTATTCACTGAATTGCACTGAGTGGAATTTTAATCTCAGACTTTCCACTTGGTAACTTTGTGATTTGGATAAGTTGCTTTACCTTAGTTTAGTCAAATATATATCAAAGTATTCTTGTGAGAATTAAATGAGATAACTTAGATAAAGACCATAGCGTACCATTGTACATATAGTTAGTGGACTTGAATTATTTTAATACATAAATTCAGGAATTCTTAGATTTTACCCTCTGCACCACAGCTGGGCATAAACCTGAATAGTGATTTTTTTACTTCCCAAATAGAATAATAATGTAAGTTGGGGGTCATATCTCATATGGGTAAAGCTTATTTTTAAATAGTGCTAATCTAGTTTGTAGATGAAATCATAGCCCACTATTAGGATAAAATTCAGTAAAAGTATTTTTGGACATTTATAAGACAGTAATAATTATATGAATACCAAAATGCCTAGCATAAATGAGAACTTTAGCAATTTTAAGAGTAGCCAAAATATGGACGTATCAAATATTATTTCAATTTATCACTTATAAAACCAACTGAATGGATAATCTAAGTTATATTTATCAGTAAATATGCTTTTAAATTAGCTGATTGATGAAAAATTGGCTTCTGATTTATCCTTATAATGTCAAAGGAAATAGAAAATGAAAGACAACTAATAAAAATAATGTTGATGAGAAGACCAAAGAACTTAAAGGAGTACTTCAAGAGCTGTCAATACATTCAGTGTAGAGAGGGCAGAAAAAATTATTTTGTTTTGTAGTAGCTTATAACTATGACATATATGTGTTTTTGTTTTTATAGCAGACCAGGAAAAAAGAATTAAGGCTTAATAAGATTTCACACTATTTAAGATGAAAATGGCAGCATAAGGAGTAGTAGGTAGATTTGTAACCATCGAAAATCAATAAATTTATCATTTTTTAGTGAGACAAGAATTTGAACCCAGGTCTTTATGCTTGCAAGGCTGGCACTGTTTGAGCCACAACTCTAGCCCTTTTTACTGTGGTTATTTTTGAGGTAGGGGCTTGCTTTTTGCCTGGGCCATACTGGACTGTTACCCTCCTATTTATGCTTCCTTCCATAGCTGGGATGACAGGTAGATGCTACCACATACTCGAGAGAGAGTCTCTCGAAATCTTTTGTCCTGACTGGCCTGGAGATGAGATCTTTTCATCTCAGCCTCTCACATAGCTAAGACGGCAAGCAGCAGGCCACCACACACAGCTGTTGGTTGAGATGGAGTCTTGCAAACATTTTGCCCAGGCTGTACTTGAATTGTGATCCTTCTGATCTCAGCCTTCCAAGAAGTTAGGATTATAGACTTGAACTCTTGTACCCAGTATAAATTTAGCTTTTTCTTTTCTTTTTTTTAAACACTTAAGTGTAGGATAGAACAGGCTAGCATGGTCATTGAGTGAATTAGGTCTTATTTTATCTGAACACATAGGTCTGAACTAAATGACAAATTGAAATTTTCTAGAAATAGCAATTTCTTTAGCCCAATAAATGTTGAAATGTGAGAATGAAATAAATACAAATGAAAAATTACTTTGTTATACTATAGTATGTTTTGGTAGAAAGATACCACTGTGAAAATTATGCCTTTGAGTTATAATGAATATAGAAACTATGATGTAATAATTTCCATCACATTGAGTTGATCATTTAAAACAGTATTAGTAATTGTATTAGCTACTTTTGCGCAGCTGTGAGCAAAATTCCTGTGGGAACAACTTAAAAGGAGGAAAGATTTATTTTGGCTCAAAGTTTCAGAGAGTTTAGTTCATGGTTGCTTAGCTCCAAGTGCTTGGGCAGAACATCATGTCAGCAAGCAGTGTGTGAAGGAAGATGCTGTTCACTTTTTGATGGCTATGAACCAGACCAGAGCAGCTTACATCATGGAAGACAGGAAGCAGAGCAGGGCTGTAATAGCAGCAACCAGGACAAGGTATAGCACTAATGACACCCCCCAATGACCCACTTCTCTAAAAAAGGCCCCCACCTTCCACAGTTCCACCACCTCCCAATAGTCTATTCAAATTTTGAATTCATCAATGGATTGAACCATTCATTAGGTCAAAGCCCTCATGATCTAATTGTCTCTGGAAACGCCCTCACAGTCACACCCAGAGGTGTGCTTTTCCAGTCTTCTAGATGTTTATTAAGCAAATCAAGTTGGAAACCAAGATTTACTGTAACAGTAATCTTTAAGGATTTTTTGTTTTTTTGGTAAATGAAATATCTACTAGAATAATCATCTAAAAATTAGGCCATGGCAAGTTAATATGTATAAAAATCAAAATTACCAATATTATTTTTGAATTTCAGATTCCCCAAAATCTGTGGGGGTGCTTGCACAATTTCTGAGCCCCCGAAGCTAACAACATGCTTGTTTTAAACACCCCATTCTAGCCTTTAGCCAGGAAGCTTTTGTTACTATTTTAGTCTGAACTGGTTGTAGGCCTTTGCATGGGTCTTGCTTTGCACTTCTCTATTCTTTCATGGCCTTAGATTTCTTATCTCCTACGTTCCTGTATTCCTTTTTGGTTTTCCTCATGTTGTTAGGTTATCAGGATGTGAATTTTTGAGTACTTGCTTGACTGGGAATGTTATTATCCCATTCTCCCTCTTTATTTGTAGCTACTCTGGACATAGAATTCTTGGGTACAAAAAATTTAACCTCTGTATTTTGAAAGCATTTATCTTCTAACTTCCAGTATTGCTGTTGAGAGGTTCAGTGACAGTTTGAATATGGTCCCTTTGTTTGTCACCTGTTTGCCTCTTTGGAAACCCTTCAGCACTTTGCTATCCCCTGATGTAGAATGTACAGTGATATTCTGGTTTGGTTCCTTGAATATGTTGTTTAGTTGCCCTTTCAGACAAGAGACTCATTCCTAAAGATTTTGGAAATTCTCTTGTAACTTTTTAGAAATGTTCACTTCTTTTTTTCCCCTTTCTGTTTCTTTTTGGAATTACTGTTAGTTCACTACATAATTTGTAAGATTGATTCCCTAATATTTTAACATCTTTTTCTGTTAGCTATCTGTTTGTCTCTGTATTCTTGTTTCTGAGAGATTTTATTGTGTTATTTTCTACCTTACCAGTGGTTTAAGTTTTTCAACTTTCACTTACACGGGTGCTCTACAGCTTGAGCCACACCTCTAACCCCTTTTGCTCTGGTTATTTTGGAGACAGTGCCTCACATTGAGCTGGGCTGGCCTGGACCATGATCCTGCTGTTCACTAGGATGACAGATGCATGCCAGCACACCTAGATTTTATTCTGTTGAGATGGGGGTCTCAAAATGTTTTTTTGTCCAGGCTGGCTTCAAATTGCAGTCCTCTCAACCTCAGTAGTTAGGATTACAGGCATGAGCCACTGATCTCTGGCTTTAAACACATGGTTCTGTTGTATTATGTGCTCAATTCAGTAATCGTTGAAAGAGTTATGTGCTGCATAATGATGCATTGGTCAATGACAGACCACCTGTACAATGATAGTCCCATAAAATTATGTTCCCTAGCAATATCGAAGCAGTCTTAGTTTACATAAGTGCATTCTGTGATGCTCCTGTGAAGAAATTACCGAAGGACATATTTCTCAGAATGTATTCCTGTAATTAAATGACACAAGACTGTAATCATACATTGTTTTAAAAGCTTTTTAAAATTAGCTTTTATACATCTTCATATAGTTAATTTTTATCCTGTGAGTGCTTTTAGTGATTACATAAAATAGGATTAAGTAATTTTAGATACTGGTGATACAAAATAGAAGTGTGTGATAAACAACTTTTATAATAGAACTTTGAATTGCGATTTGTCTTATGATAGCTAATAGAGGATAATATGTAAAATAATTTCAGATGGTAAAGAGAATGTGGGTGTAGTTCTTTTCCATTCTCCAGGGCCGACATGTTTGAACCAATACAAATTTTGTATTTATTTTGTGTACTTGTTTCGTGATTCTAAAGTTCAGGTATGTTTATATTTTATGTATATATATATATATGTATATATATACATATATATATACATTTATATTTTTATATATGTCTTGAAATAATTTCTTACAGTTACCTTCCATGGTTTGAAGTATATTACAAGCTTCTGAATACTCTGGCAGATTACTTGGCTAAGGAACTTGTAAGTTATATTTTCTCTATTATTTTTGTTAAATATGTATAACATAAAGTTTTAAAGTTTAAGTGTTAAAATGTGCATAATATAAAGTTTACCATTTTAACCATGTTAAATGTGTCACTCTGTGACACTAAGTACATCCACAGTGTTCCCCAACCATCAGAACCACACAACTCTAGAACTTTTCATCTTGACAAACTGAAGCTCTGTCCCCTTTAAACAGTAACTGCCCATTTCCTTCTCCCTTCTTCCTCACAACCACCATTTTACTGAATCTCCCTCTGACTCTATCCACCTCATGTGGCTGGAATTGCACAGTGTTTGTCCTTACACGACTGGCTTACTTCACTTAGATAATGTGTTCAAGGTTCCCATGTTGTAGCATATGTCAGGATTTCCTTCCTTTTTAAGGAATAATATTCTTTTGTATGTATGTGCTATAACTTGTTCATTCATGTGTCAGTGAACACAAATTGTATCCACCTTTTGGCTAATGTGAATAATACTTCTAGGAAGATGGTTGTACAAATATCTCTTCCAGTTCTTACATTCAGTTTTTTTTCATATACCTAGAAGTGTGAATGCTGGGTAATATGGCAATTTTGAGGAACCACCATTTTACATCCCCACCAGTAATGTTATTTGCTTGATATATACCTTACTTATTTAATGAATTTTTCTTTGTTCCAGGAAAATGATTTGAATGAAACTCTCAAATCACTATATAACCACCCAGTACCAAAGGCAAACACTCCTGTCAACTTGAGTGTGGTAAGTGCTTAATTAGTAATTGTCTTTTAGAGACATAACAGTTTCTCACATAAGAACACACCTTCTTGAAACTACCATGTCACCTCTGCTTTCAGGGAAGCTTCAATGATAGTATTAGCATTACTCGGTGATATGATTGTGACTTTTGGCATGTTGTAACTATTATAATTTGACATATTAGTTGTGTATTTTGGTGGTTGTTAAATTGCAGTTAAAAAAACTATCAACAGTAACCAAATCTATGGGGATGTTTTGATTGTAAGGAACATTGATTTTTAAGGTGAAACCCATGCGTAGCAAAATGAATAGTACTTAATAAAAATAGAAAATGTCATAATGACATACAGGATGAAAATTCAGGTAAGAGGTGCCTCATTCTTCCTTGATCCTGTTATGCACCTTCTACAATAATCACAAATCCTGGAAATAGGATTTAAGGTTTGTCAAAACAGCAAGCCTGTGATGAGATATATTATTTACTGTTAGAACTTTGACTTAGCTATGGCATTTATGTCTAAAAACGCATTCATAGTTTTGTGAGTTTGTGTAAATAAACTTCACCGTAAAATGTGGGTATTTTCATTAGTATTCTTTGTTAATTTGTCATACCAAATAGAAATTTAAAATTTATTTATATTGATTTTGTTTCTTCCCAAATAATAACAAATTTCTGTCCCAATAAAGAAGAAAAAACTTAATGATGCAAGAAAAATTTTGAGGGAAGGTAACTTGAACAAAAGATCTTCTGCATTTTTTGGATGATAAGAACATTGTCATTCTTACATTATTTCTTGGGTCATAACATTCTTTCTCCTGAATTGTCTCCTATAGTTTTATTTAATAATAAAACTATACATTATACTGTTCTTTAAATTTCCACTGTCACCACCCTAGCTCAGGTTTTCAGCACTTTGAATTGTCCTTAGGCTAGAGTCTTTCCTTCTGGTCCTTTATTTAAGACTGTCAGATTAAACTTTCTTAAATTCTGTAGAGTCCCCTGCTAAAAAAATTTTTTTTCTTTGAGAATGAAGGTAGAAAAGCTTATTAAGAAAGGACAAAGTTCCCACAGGTGAGGGAATGGACCCGAATGGGTTGTCTGTTAAAAATCATTTGTCATTCCTGTTTTATGTAGAATTTTTCCAAACTTTTGGTCAGGCTTTCAATACCATTAACTTCTTTGCTTTACTCCAACTTTTAATTTTTTGGTCTTACATTTTTTCTTCTTTGATTCTCTACTCTGGCCTCATTGTTCTTTTCAGCTTCTTGAATGAGCATCATGCTTTCCTTTTGCCCTAAAGCCTCTTTGCAGACTGTCTTTAGAAGTAGCTCAGTTTCCAGCTTTGTGAAGCTCTTGCCATGTAGCTTAACATGTCCATTCTTTCCTCTCATGTCTTCTGCCTTATATCTATATCCTCTTTTGCTGTCCACTGGAAAAGTGGAAGCATTTAGTTGTTTTTGGAGATTGGGGAATGGAAAGTCTAGGATCACCTGGAATTTTTAAACTCAAATTTGGGAGTCATCAGCAGATATAGATATACCTGTTTGGAGAACAGATGACAAATAACATACAGAAAAGGCAAAAGTCTATTTGCCCAGAAATGGAAAAAGAAAGGACATCCAGGAAGAATGAGAAAAAAGCCATTAAGGAGAAACTCAGACTTATAAGTCATTGGAGCCAAAAGAATCAAAAGTTTGTGGCCAGTGGTACCTTAGAAGAAAGATCAAGAATTACACGGAAGAATTCTAGATTTTCCAAAAAAAGAAGTCATTTTTCTTTGAAAGCATCACGTTAATAAAGTCATTCTAATACATTGTTAAAGAGCTAAGGAAAATATAGGCACCAAAATAATGGAGGCAGTTACTGTACAATATTAATAAGAAATAAAAATGTACTATTTGTTCACATTTGTTTTATCTTCTTTTTAATTGACATAATAATTGAAGTGGTTTATAGGGCAGAGCGGAATACATGTACACATTGTGCAGTGATCAAATCAGGATAATCACATTTGATCTCTGCTTCTATGAGATCAAGATTTTTAGATTGCACACATGAGTGAAATCATGTGGTTATTTGTCCTTTTGTATCTGCCTTCTCTCACTTAATGTATGTTCTCCAGTTTCATCCATGTTGCTACAAATGATAGGATTTCATTTTTATGGCTGAATAGTCTTATGTACATATACCACATTTAAAAAAATTCATTCATCCATTAAGAGACACTTAGGTTGATTCCGTCTCTTGACCACTATCAGTAGTGCTACAGTGGACACAGGAACACAGCTGTCTCTGCAATGACTGTGGCAATGCAGATGGACAGGCCTCTGTTCCTGTGGTTACACACATAGTGGTGATATTGGTGGACTTGTAGGATAGATCTATTTTAAGTTTTTGAGGAACTTTCATACTGTTTTCTGTAATGGCTAAATTACATTCCCATCAACAACGTGAAAGAGCTCCTCTGTCTATATTTGTTTACTTTTCTGTCTTTTTATTAACAGCCACTTTACTGGGGGGAGGTGCTTAACACCTTGTGGTTTTGATCTGCATTTCCCTGATGACTGTGTGAAGTTCATTAATAATTTCATTTGCTTTCAACAGCAGATTACTCATTGTGCCCTGTGCTGTACTATCAATGAGTGGCAATTTGGGGACTAGAGCACTTGCCTTCAGTTATTAGTAGGGATTTTAATTTGTGTTATTAGATTAAAATTCATGGTCATGGAAGTATTTATTTTCCTGCAAATAGATAGTTGTCACTAGAATATCAGATTTTTATACAAAGTTGGTATAAAACGTAAGTGACTTTTTTTGAAACTGTATTTTAAAAATCATTCAATATAAACTACATTCTCTACTCACAATATGAAAGATGCTTTCTTTAGCTAAATTTTCTAGTGTGAAATGAACAAATCAGCATATGAAATAACATTTACAATTAACGTTATTCAAGTACTTTTAGTGGATCATATAGCTCCTTGGGTTTGTCTCAAACACATAGGAAATTTTTGTGTAAACTTCCCCCTGGAAAGTAAAGTATTCATTTTTCTCTTATATATTATAAGAACCAAGAGATCTTTATTGCTACTGAGCAAGTTCTGAAAGATCAGCCCTCACTAACACCGGTGAGTTAAGAGAACACTGGCTTTAAAAAAAAAAAATCACTATTAAATTGGGAAAATAATCACCTCTTTCACTATGTCTTTAGGATTTACCACTTTGGGAAATGGTAATTTCACTCTTTTAAAAAATTAATCACTTGGGCTATATTTTCTGTTTATACTCTCTTTATAAAGCATAGTTTTATAAGCTACTATATGATGCGAAACCCATCCAATAAGGTAGTGAGTTAGACCAAATCAGTGCATAAAGTACTTTCACAGCATGAGATTGCTGTCAGAAGACTACCTTGTGGTTTATCTTTCATTGTTCTTCCATCCTGGAAATTATGCATTCTGACTGTGCTAACTGGCCTTGTTCTGAATAGTTCAGCTGTGCTCAATACTGAGTAGAAAGTTTTTTTTCCCAATCTGTAATTATAAAACAGTACTAAGTATATCCATTTTTGATTCAGATTAAAATAATTTTGGAGAGATTAATATGAACAGAAAATAAAACAAGTTTTGGTGATTAAGTCCTACTTTGATTCTGGGTGGTAAAATTTGTGAACATTGTGAGGAATTATAAAGGTATATGTTCAACTTTTAAGTAAGTATTTTACTGAACTTCTGTATTGCTTTGTTCATTAAAGAAGATAATTAATATTTGTTTATTGCGTATATAAGGGTCATATGTTTAGGTTTTAAACATTTAAAATTTATGTTTTGTTGTTGCTTTCTAAATAATATACTTACTGATGTTTATAAACGATACTGATTATGATTTATCATAGCAACTCAATAGTCTTAATAGATTTTGATGTACTCTTGGATTAGCAAGCTTTATTTTTCCAGTCTACCTAAACTAAATATGTTTTAAGAATACACATTTAAATGTATAATCATATTGTATAAAACTCTGATAATGTACTTTTTTGCCTTAAAACTTTCCTCAAGATTCTTATTCCACTTTTGTTCAATTTTGAAGTGAGTTATTTTGGTTAATACCAAGTATTAACCAAATACTTGGTTAATATTTTAACCAAGTATTTAACTTCTTGTGTGAGAAAGTTATTAAAACTCATATAGAGTTGCTATCTCAGTTAAAAGTCTCAAATTCAACGAATCCAGAGTATCCACTTGTGGCATGTATTGATTTAGTTGATGTATTTTTTCTTATTTTTATCCCAGATTATATCATACCAAATGCTAATTCTCCTTTTCTTGTATTTTTCATTCCCACCGACTAGCATTCATACTTCATTGCCCCGGACGTGACTGGACTCCCAACAATACCAGAGAGTGTGAGTTTTGCTTCTTGTTTTTATTATTCTAGTAACATTAAAATTTTATTTCTTTTAGTATCATTGCTCTTTGATTCCTGTGTAGGGAAATAGTATACATTGTAATTATCTGTGGTTTTGAGAAGTAATGAAGAAATACGGAATAATGATGGCATCTCCTTTTCTTTATGCCTCCTTTCTTAATATCTATTGTTGATAATGAAAATTAAGGAAAGTGATGTTAAAAACAATTTCTGTCATTTGGAACAGTTAGGTAGGGTCCTATATATCCAACCACGTCCTGATTGAGGAGATGTCAGAGACCTGGCTCTACTGACGGGAAGAATATCAGCCATGGGAAATGTCTTCACAAAGACAGCAACTTTAGTGAATTGACTCTTGAATTTTAGATTCCTTGTGTATAATTCTGTTTGAATGTTCAGGGTCCTGGTACTTGATTTCCTGATTTTAACTCAAAGTAATAGGTATTTTGTAAGGCTTGAAGGCTATTATAAGAATTTATAAAAATTGTCAAATTTTTCATTTTATTTCTTATCCTATTTGTAGCCATACTAGAAATATTTTTGGTGTTTAGTAATTATTCAGGTTAATATTTTATTGGAAAGTTTACATGGCTAAGTGGAAGTAACAAATTCGTTTTAATGCCCCTTGATAACTGTATGAAAAGGAGATATTCCTTTATATAATTGTTTTTTAACTTCTCTTGGAAAGTTAAAATGAATCAGAAGAAATAATTGAAAAGCAAAGGAAGAATCAATAGGAAAACATAAATAGACTCAAACCAGACTCTTCTGGTTTTCCAAACATATTTTGAAACCTGTGGAATAGTTACTTTCTAAAAGAATATGGATACATATACTTCTTGGTCAGCAAAGGCAGGCGTTAATTTTCTAACATCAAATCAAGGCTTTCAAATCAAAACTAAGGTTTTAGTACCAATAAATCCTATGAAACTCTCTGAAAGGGTTTTTCAGATAACCTCTATCAGAAGACTCTCTCAAATTCCTTTTTCTGTGGATCTGAGACAGATAGACTATCAAAGCTGTCAGGTCTCATAACAGTCCCCAAGTCTTGACTGCTGCCACTGCGGAGGAGGGGTTGTCTCTTAGGTTTTCCTTAGGGACAATAGACTGTCTTGGCTTGTATGACACAGTTCCTTCATGTCAGAGTTTCTGATGCAGTTACTGCTTTCTGTTTTCTCTCCTGTTTACCTTCCTCTTATATTTACTGGCAACAGCTAATAGCTTTACTTAACAAATGTCACATCTTTAAAAGACTTACTTTGACAGGTTTCTTTTGACCACACTGGGGTTTGAACTAAGGGCCCTGCGCTGGCTAAGCAGGGACGGTACCACTTGCGCCCACACTCCCAGCCCACTATGAAACTTTTAAAAAAACAAACATTCTAATGAAAAGCTGTCACTAAGAATACAAATTTTTGCATTGCTAGTAACTTATTTTATAGAAAGTTCTGTTGGAGCAAAGGCATAAATATAAAATAGCATTCAATGTTGAGAAGTAATTTCCAATAAAAAATTATCTTATCTTTGTGTGAAATGTTGTAAACATGATTTTGTACAGGAAGAGTTGACTTGGAAAGTCAAATTAAGAAAATTCCTTCAAATTGAAGGAACAATTGGATTTCCTGTTTTCTTGTCTCAAGCATTTAGCGAGATCATTAGCCACCCAGTTCTACAGTTTCAGTGTATTATCATATCATACTCAGTTGTTGCTGTCTGAAATGCTTTTTTATATTGCATAAAACTAAAAATAAGTACTAAAAAGAATAGGACTTAAAAATCAAAGTTAACGTAGCTCATCCCAATTTTGTTCTTATGCAAGGGAAGTGTTAAATTGAGGAATCAGTTTAGAACATTGCCAGATTACATTTGGTTGTAGCAGCATAAAGCAAGCCTAATGTGCATATAAACCAGAGACTTTCCTTTATAAAGGACTATAGGGAGTTGGGTGCCCATGGTCCATACCTGAAATCCTAGCTCCTTGAAAGGCTGAGATTGGAAGGATCTCATTTTGAGGCCAGTCCAGGCAAAAATTCAGAGATAGATCCTCGTTTCAATGGAAAAAGGCTAGGCATGGTATCCTAGCTTCTCTTCATACTGCTAATAACTTGAAAGTCAAAGTAGCATTTTTTATAAATCACATGTTTTATGACACTCACTAAATCCCATTGATGGAGAGAAGCATAGATAGAAGTCTGGGCTGGCCTGGGCAAAAAAGTGAGACCCTATCTCCAAAATAATTAGAGTAAAAAGGACTGGAAGTGTGGCACCTGCCTAGCAAGTGCCAACCCCTGAACTCAAGCCCTAGTGTAACCAAAAACAAAACAAACAAAAACCCCAAAGGACTGCTTATCTTTTGGGTACCTTGTGTCTAGCACATGCATCAGGCAAACATGAAAAATTCAAGAGCAGCAGTTTCTCAAACATCAGTATATGCAAAAAGCAACAGGAGAAGGAGTATTTATTTGTTTTAAAATGAGATTTTTGGGACTATACCCTAAAGATAATATTTCTGTAGGTCTAGGTTGGGGCCAGGAAATCAGCTTTTCAAATACTTGGGGTTGGGGGTGAAGGGAGGCTGGGAAACAAGCGCTCCTGTGATTATTCTCTGAGAAGCACTTTTGTGGAGGGTTATGCTTTAAATAATAATAGAACATGACATGCTTCATGTGGAGGCAGAATAGTATTAAATGTAATTATTTTAATGAAAGCCACTTTTCATCATAGCATCCCGTTAAGATTTTTTGGCAAATGTATAAAATGTTTTCCTTCATATGCATGTGAGCTGCAAGTTACACAGTTATTTTTTGCTTGCATAGAGAAATCTTACAGAGTATTTTGTGGCTGTGGATGTGAACAATATGTTGCAACTGTATGCCAGCATGCTGCACGAAAGGCGCATCATTATTACCTCCAGCAAATTAAGCACTGTAAGTACTTCACACTTCTCCTTTTAAGTAGCATGTATTGAGTGCTTCACAAAAAGACCTAAAAACCTCTGCAGATTTAGAAATGTGCCATGTGTACTCAGGACACAATATCTACATACTTTTTAAATATATGGTTTTAATCTGGCTCTTGAAGTACAAAAGTCTGATTTATAGAAGGCCTTCTCAGATGCATTAAGTCAGGTTAATTATTTTTTTCTTATCAGGAGATGAGTTTTTTTTTTTTTTTTCTCTTTTTAACTCTCCGGAGTTCATTTTAGTGCCTTCTATCACATAAAGAATTCTTAAGAGCTATTATGAGATCTTTATTATTCACTTGTGGCTTTTTCCATTGGAGCTACTTGAAAGAAATCAAGGGGCCATGATAATAGCTGCTATCCTAACCTGGTAATAGGTAGATTCATTTTTGTTGCCTAGTGGTGGTTTGGGAGTAGATTCTATAATAGTTCTGATGTGGAGGAGCTCTTCACACTGATAATAACTTAAAAGTCAAAGTACCATTTTTTATAAATCACAGGTTTTATGACACTCACTAAAATGTTCTTTTGGAAGGTCTTCATTACTGTAGTAAAGGCAGAGAGAAAAGAAGGATTTTTCTTGGGTCATGGAAAAAGATTCAAAAGTATTTTGCTAGATTTCATCATTTTTCTCCATTAAACATAAAAATTTATTATTTCCAGCTTTTAAATTTTATTATAAATTTAAGTAAAATTTTGTGTAATCTATGAAATATTAAAAAACCATTACTCAATATTGCATGAATTTTCTTCCCCACAAGATTTTTTTAGTTGATAAAAATAAAACCACACTTTTAATATTTTATTCTCTTCTAGTACTTTAGCATTTTAAAGTACAAGGAGCTTTAGGATTTCTCTAGGATATCTATTTCGTATTTAATAGTGAGAGAAGTATTTTCAGAGAAGTTAAATTGGCTACCATAGGCCAACTAGTTGAAGATAGGCCATGTGAAGCTAGGTCTCCTGATTATATATTTTGGGTTATTTCCATTACTTTGTAATTGAATTAGTATAATTTTAAGATTTTGAATATTTAATATTGATATACTCACTTCCCCCATCAAAAATACATATTGAAAAAAATATATATTTAAGAAATACGGATGTAGAAGTAAGGAGGCAAAGTCAAAGAGTAATTATTTGTTTTTTTCTTATACATCTTAAAGAGGTGTTGACAAAATTCAGTCTGAATCATTTGGTACTTTTATATTTACTATTCTGCTATTTTTTAATATACTACCAAAGTAAAACCTTTCTTCATTTTTACCTTCTTCCTTCTCCTCATATTTAAAATATGATATTTTCAAAATTATAAAGGATATTTCTATAGGGATTTTTGTCCTCAAGATTGATGATTGTACAAACTGGGTAGGGTGCTTCATGACTGCAGTCCTTACTACTTGGTAGGTAGAGGTCGAAGGGTTGTGTATTGAGGCCAGACCCTGCAAAAACTTAGTGAGATCCCACTTCAACCAAACAAAAGGTGGTGTGGTGGTACATCCTGTCATCCCAGCTATGCAGGAAGCATAAATAGGAGGATTACTGTCTAGGCTGGCTAGACATAAATAGAGACCCTATGGAAGAGCACCTGCCTAGCAAGCGCAAGGCCCTGAGTTCAAACCCTAATGCTGCAAAAAAGAAAAAAGGATTGTGCAAACTATAGTGTAGGCCTAGGAACCAATTCATGGGACAAACATTTATTAGGCACATATTGTGTGCCAGGTGCTATGAATTTCACAGTCAGCAGAACAAAGTTCAAGCAATTTTGATGCTTTTATATATGAAGCTGGCATGAAATAAGGCAATGATCAAATGAATAGCTATCATGTGTCATGACTATGAGTACCAAGGAGTTAAAGGATAAAGTGAGTGTGTGCAGAGTTGAAAGTGAGGGGCAGGTTTCTGTTTTACATAAAGTGATTATGGGAGGAAGGTCTCTCTAATGAGGTAGAATTCAAACAGATCTGAAGAAAGTGAGGGAGTGAGCTATGTGAATGAAGTAGAAGCTACTCTGTTTAGGAAAACAGTAGAAATAAATTTGAGCATATGTTTTTGAAAAATATTGGTATCTTTATTTTAATTTATATCCCTCTCTTAATGGTGGGGAAACCTCTCTTTGGCTTAGTTTCTTTGTATATAAAGTGAGAAAAATATCAGCCTTTATCTCCTAGGATTGCTATAAAGATTAAGGAGACATACACATTTACGTGGAGTGCTTAGAATTGTGTGTGTATAGGATGAATGGTCAGTGATTAGTAACAGTTTTATAATAGTCTAGACCTGTAATTTAAAGCAAAAATTTAACATGACTATACTTTAATATAATGTTTAAATAAAAACCAAGTGGTTATAAAACTTGGTATTATCCAGGAGTTGTTTCCTCTGTTCAAGGTCAAGTTAATACCAATTGTTTATGATAATTCATGAAAACATTTTAGCGATGTCATCTCTAAGGTACCAGCTCTGTTTTGGTTCAGCCTCTGGGAGCAGTAGGGCTGATAAAATAAACATAATTCAAGTTCTCTTTCATGATCTTCTTACCCTTCTTCTGTGGAGGCCGCTGCTTTACTTAAATCTATCTTGAACAGTTCTCTTATATGTGCAGCAAATATAAATATATATGCTATAAATTCCATGCATAGTAACATTTAAAAAGGTCAAAGTCAAGTATCATAACATAAATCAGAGGCAAACTACTTTTCAAAAAGACTTTAATGAAATCTCTGAAACACCCAAAGAAAAAAAATTGCCAATGAATTGACTTGGTTTTTAGATTTTCACATTCTTACATTTTTATATGACTTAGAGACTAATGTACTTAATTTTAATGCAAGAAGTGTGTTTTATACTTTGTCTTTTAAATCCCCAAATTTTAATTCTTCTAAGAACATGTATAAGTTTTTAACATTCATAATTCAGTCACCATTTTAGGAATTTTGTTTGCCTTAGTTATTTACTGTTTGACAATCATAATTTTTCATAACTATTCTAAAATGCTAGCTTGCTGGGGTTATTCATGGCAGTTCTGTACTAGGAATCAGTTTATTCGAGGGTCCCTTTCTTCAGGTGCCATTTGTAGCTAAAAATAATTTGTAACCTTTATAAAGGTAAACTTTAAAATAAAAAATAGTTTTAAGATATGTAAGCAAAAAATATCAAGATTATATTATGTTTTAAATTTTTTAATGGGTTTTCCTCTCATTTGTTTGAGTGGGACCCATTACTATATTTTTACGCATTTGAGTTTAATGAATTAGACATCATCAGTTTTATCTTTATTCTTTGATTCATACATCATCAAGCAAACATGGAATGGTTTCTGGCAAACATGCATGTTGATTTTATGCATACTGTGGGCAAGGCTTAGATATTTCACCTCCAAGTGAATAGTAGACTATAAGAACATCATATCAGAGTCGCATATATTCAAAGCAAAGGAATAAATCATGATATTACAAGGTTGTATCAGTTGACTTATTACTTCTTTGTGACCATAAGAAGGAAGGACTGCTGCTTAAAGCCATGTCATCGGTTCTCAAATCAGTCAGGCATGACGCCTTGTCATATGCCTCTGTAATTGTACCTCACCAGACTTTCTATAACTAGTCAGCTGGGGCTGTGCATTTTGTCTCAAACACCCGGCTGGCTAGCATCTGACAGGAGCTTTCTCATCATCCTGTCAGTAATATGTTAACTAGAGTGTATCTTTGTGGCTTGTAGGAACAGGTAGAAGGGAATGCTTCTCCTTAAAGCAGATGTCTAAATGTTAGCTACTACTTTGACCAACATTTAGTTAGTAAATATCATCTTCTTAAAGTCTGTGAGCGCATTAGTTACAGAGATTTAATTGTGTAAGTGCTTATTATTTCTGGAATATTTAGAGCAAGCAGTATGTTGTGAAAATTGGAATTGTATTTATAAACTATAATTTCTTCCTTTGATATAGTTGCCCCCAGGCGTTTAAACATATGCTTTTCTCTCCCTTTCTCATTAATTCCATCAAGGGCAGATGCAAAAAGAAATCTTGTGATCTCTGGAAAATCAGCTATTAAAACGTAGATTTTATAGGTTTAGTCAGACTAAAGAGGAGTCCAGAGGATTTTAACCTCTCCATCTGGATTACATGTTTTCTTGGTTTGTCTTCTAATAGTACCACCTGTATCAGCACTTAATCCAAAACCTGAAGCCCAGAGAATCTTTCTGGAGATTAAGAGTTGAACAGTTGGTGAGAGAACAAAGGGTGCCAGGACTGCTTGCTAGTTAGGTTACTGAAGTGTATTTTTGCCCCTGTGTGTTTTTAAGGCTACAGCAGAATGGTGCAGTTAAAAAATGTTACCAGGACCTTTCCTAGAGATAATCTTGGAATCATTTTTAGATTTTTAATTTTTCCCTTCAAACTCATAATAACCAATTAAGCCAGTTGAAACTGTAGACAATGATTCTGCTTACCAGTGTGTTATTTGACCTGCATATTGCTGTTCTGAACATTGTATTTTTGTCCAGTGCTAAGTGAATGTGACTGGAGTGTGGAGATGGGACTGTTGATGTCTTTATGAAATGGTTTGTACTTTCTGCTCTTGGAGCTAAAAGCTCTGTTTTCTATGGAAATCAGCACTGTTTGTGGCTTATAGTTTAGTCATTTGTCAAGGGGTGTGTGTGTGTGTGTGTGTGTGTGTATGGTGTAAAATCCAGACAACATTGTTTTAAGTTACTCCGCTCTATTTTTTTCATCTTTTTCATTTTTATTAGGATATATCCGTTGTACAGGGGGGAGGCCCTGTGATAATTCCAAATAGCCTTAAGTCATTTGTCTTCTAAAAGTAAGCAATTGGCTTTGAATTCGTAAAGCAGAATTTTGTTGTAACAGCCATGGAATTATCAAGGAGGCATATTGAATTATGCTTTAAGTTCTGTAAACTCTCTTCCTACAACTCTGATCACCACATAAATCATCTTGAACAATTT